TTCCTCTAGCGCAAATATGTTATGGTAAGTAACTTTTTTAGCCGTAACCTCGGGGTTGACGCGGCTGGTTCAGGGGTCCGAATGGCGAGGATCAGGCGCAGCTCCCCTCGGGCTCTTGTGGTGGATGATCGCGGGGGACCTGGCTGGAAAGTTCCGCGACGCCGGGTAGGGTCAGCTTCGGTCGAGTACCTGCACACAGGTCGGGTCGGCGGCTCGGTCCGACCCCTCCGACGATCAAGTCAGTGATTGAGAGTGGAGTTTTGGGTGAAAATGGTGCCCCCTCCTTTCGTTTGGAGCCCCGGGGGTATTTATAGGTGAGTTTGATGTTACATGATGTGCCATCCTACCGGAGCAGGGCCGTACCTCTGATGGTGTCTGTCGTCGTCAAGGGCGTTGCGTGGAAGGCCGAGCTGCCGCGGGGTATGGCGAGCTTCACTCGACGGCTTCCCCTGCCTCGGCCGGTCGTGCAGGGTCAGATGATGAGGTCGTCTGGGTACGATGGGTGTGGGTGCCCATTATGTTGGTGTTTAATGCTCACTCCCTAGGGCAGTGTGCCGTCCAGGGGTGGCTGACGTCGTGGGGTATTACGTCAAATCTGTTTTTACCCCTATCAAAATTATATATGTTTTCAATAAAAAATTAGTACTCAATTATAAAAAATAATATATGATAAGAAATATATAATCAATCAGTCATTATCTGTCATGCAAACGTCACGTAAATTCCATAAAAGGAAAAAGTTTCAAACAACATGACACCCACTTATCCACATAGATAACAGTTCAAGAGGCAACTCGGTTGATTCCCAATTGCCTCTCCTACAAAATATTTATAAAAATATTCTCGAAAGTCTAAAGGGTAGTTTAGGTCAGTGACAAACTACCTCAACTATGAAATATTCATAAGAGTTTGGGGTAGCCCGGGTTGGTTACAAATCGCCTCTCATATAGTATCTTTTCGAAATATTCTATCTCTCAAAGGTCTGGTATAAAAACATATCCTCAACTCCAAGTAAGAGGGGAGAAAATAGAGAACTTAGACCTAGAAAAGTTAACCTTGAGACTAACTTAAGTGTCAGAAGGATCGGCTCGGGAAGCCTCTCCTGACTTTGGTCTTCATGCATGTGACAAGTTGGGAGAAGATACTTTCCACCTCGGATGACTCTACACACACTGGTTCGAGCCACGTCGAGCTGATCAAGATGTCAACGATATTTTCTCTCAATATGTTATGCTAGAAGAAAGGTCCGATATCGCAAGAGCGTCCACAAGCCGACCATGTCAATGAATGCTCAAGTGAGGCTTTGCCCCCGACCCACAACACTTTTGCTCAATCGAGACAATAACCATCTTTTCCTTACATGGACACATCTACCTCAGCATAAGTATTGATGTAGTATTAGCGTATGTTCAATAACTTGAGACTTTGATAGAACCCCAGAGGAATTCTATGTAGATTGATCTTTGAGGGGGATCAACCCTTGGAACGCTGTAGGGGTTCCAACCTCCTAGAATTCGGCCAAATGGCTACAATTGTAGATGGATCTTGTTCTCAAAGAGATGGATGCTACATACTTATATAAGGCTCCAAACCTTAGCCCTAGTGGTTGCTTCCTAAGTGAGTTATCTCTTTTGCCCTCAACCCTAGTCGACTAGCGTAGTAAAAAAAAAGGGGGGGGGGAGGGGGGGGATGGGGATCGGGAAGGAGGGGGGTGCGCGCGGTGGGGCAGGGGGGTGGCTAGGAAGCCCAAATGCTCAAATATAAACCCTAGCTACTCTTCTTTATAGGACTTTATAGGATAGAGGTGGCTAGGTAGGGTTTATTACAATCTCACATGATTTTTATTAGTTGTTTCTTGGTTAAGTAGGACCTAACCCTACTAGGGTCCTATCTGTTAGGATCAAGAGTGGCATTAAGAGGGGAGGGGTGAATTAGTGCAGAGGAAAACT